ATTGGACTCCTCATGTCCTCATTTACATGCAGGAAAAGGTGAAGATTCTGGTGCACAATGTGCAGCTTCATGGGCTACAGCCCATGTGCTCCAGCATTTAACACTTCAGGACGTGGCACTGAAACAATGATTGGAAATGCAAAAGCTGCTTTATGGACTGACCCTCAGGGCATTCTGACCTCTACAAACTCCAACTCACATATTTCAAGAATATTTTTGCTCCTGTTTTTCTATGAGCAAGGGAAAAGGCTCTGGTTTTAAGTTGTGCTTTGACAGACTAAGATTGAATGACAAGATTTAAGAGCTCAAAATTGCCTGCACACAGCTTTTCTTCGGCAGTACTATTTGTCTCTAAAGAGCTTAAATCTTTGAAATGCAAATATACATTGGAGTACTTTATGAATTTATGAGTATGGAAAAATGGATGCATCTCAGTTGCAGCAGGAAAAAAGCAGGTATTTCACATAAATGGCATATTTTAAAGTTAATAAATCGTTTTTTTGACCTACTTCCCCTCCTAATCCCACTTTATACAAGTAACTGACACTGCACATAAACTTATGTTGGAAAAACCAACACCAAGTTTCTGTTCTGAGATCAGAAGATTTCAAGAGAGGGGTTAAAACCATTCCTCACATATTGCTTTAGATGCAACATTGATAACTTTCCTTTCTTCTTGCACAACACAATCTTTTCAGCTGGCTGTAGATGCTGTTTAACTCTCATTTCCATTAATGCTATGTAAAGCCCACACACACACAGGCAGTCTCAGCTTTCTTACTCTGGCTTTTCTCTAGGGTCCCATGTATCATCAAATTCAGATCCTTCTGGGACCTCCTCTGTATTCCAAATGGTATTCTTGTTTTCAGATTTTGCTTGAAAAGTACCTGTAAGTGAGGAGAAAATTCGCACTGACACATTTTGAAATGTCTCTGTTCCTCAAGGCTTGCTGAAAGCTTAGAATATTTTTCAAGAATAAGAAAAAAAAAAAAGGAAAGAAAAGGCTATTTCTAAAGCCTAGAAAAGTATTTCTAGGCTTTAAAAAAACCTTTGCATTAAAAGCATTCTAGGTAATGATTACAGTCTTCTTCACCTTACTCTCTTATGAATGAGGATTTGCAGAGGGAGGATGTTTTCCTTTCACTTAAATCTTCTTTACCCAGCCTTTATTTCCTGGAAATCCTCCTTTCTGGCATATAATATCTAGCGCTTCAAAATCAGTAAAGTGTAGAGGGATGAAATACTAATCTTCCACAAGCCCCCTGACATGAGATTTTCAGTGAGCAGAGTCATTCACAAGAGGATCACCTCCTCACACAGAAATCCAGTTCTTGTCATTAATTATTGGGCACAGTCCAGACAAGGTGCTGAAGACACATGAATAGTATGGTTTATGTCTGTCCTGCATGGAAAAATATTCTTTAGTAAGCTGGTAAATGTGAAACTTGAAGATTTTAGGTAGAATCTCTGGTTATTGTTGGATAGCAATAAAAGCAAAAATAATCTATTATGTTTGCCACAGTTCCTTTCCTGCAAAACTCACCCTGGCCCTTGTTGGCCTTTCTTAGGGCTTTTAATGAAACTGCTCAACAATGTGACAGCCTCAGCTCCAAAAAAACTTAACACTAACTTTGCCAGGTCTCTACCGAAACTGCCTTCCTGTCTTTCCTGAGTACTCATCTGGAGCTTCTGCTGCTCAGCTATGGTCCCTGCAGCCCCTGAGCAGGCTGTGCTCTGAACTGTTGTCATCTCCTCTGGAGGCTGCTCTGGCATTACCCTTTCTGCTCCTCTTTGCATGTTTTAGAGTTAAGCTTTCAGGAAAGGAATAATTTTACAGTGTAATTGTAAGAAATGTCATACTGTGCCCATCTCAAACGTCAGTGACCCCTCTTTTATTGCAGGGGTATCTTACTAGAGCTGTTACAGTCTGCTGACATGAGACTGAATGCCAAAACACACAAATACTCCTCCTTACTGGTGGTGTCTTTCTTGACTGGTCCAACACTCCCAGGAGTCATGGCACCAACAGAACAGCGTGGCTGCAAAGAAGGGCAAGAGAACCTTAAATCAATTTTTGTAGAGCCAAGCTTGGTTACAACCATGATGTCAGAAAATATAACACATAATCTAAGGTCAAACAAATCCCTGATAGAATTGAAAAACATTATCCACAGTTTCATGACTGAACCACTGAAAATTCTCTTTTCTTCACTCTCACACAGCAGAAAGTGACCTTGACACACTGGGTTTAGGCAGGACTCACAGAAGCCCAGTCATACAGACAGATGTGCTTTGTGAGTTTTGGTTTCCATGGCATTTTGGCAAAATTTCCATGCTTTGCCTGCCATGAAAATATTACAGGAAACCAAGGGTGCTACATGAAAGCCCCATCACAGCATTTGGATTCCTTTTTACTGTAGAGATCATGAGGCAACAACATTTTCCTCTAATTATGAATCAATTTAGTGCTAATAGGCCAATGTGAGGCATTTCTCTATATATGAAGATTCCTTGGTTCAATAAAAGTGCCTCATATGCACAGAGCATTAAATTAAATCAAAATAAAGATTTTAATTTACCCAGATTGACTCAGACTTAATTGACATCTCTTGTGGCAACTTTCCATTTCTGTCTCTGAAGTGTCATTCATTATATTAATAAGATGTAAACAAATTCTTTTAAAAATCAGGATGTTTACTGCAGAGATGTACAGCAATAATGTAGGGTTTAAAAGGCAGGCATTAAACAGCTGGAGGATAGTTGGGGTGTGAAGGACCACACCTGTAACCCACTGAAAGAAAATTCCAAGGGATATGCACCCCTTTTATTCCAAATATTACTTGCATTGCCACTACTGGGGCTGGTCAGCTCTTTGTTGAGGAATGATTTGGAGGAGCACTCAGGCATTTGCCATTTTTGTTATCTGGGTTTTTTGTTTTGGTTTTTTTTTTTTTTTTAATCTGTTTTTTGTTTATTTGTTTGTTTGGGGTTTTTTTTGTTGTTGTTGTTTTTTTGTTTTTTTGGGTGGTTGGGTGTGGGGTTTTTTTTTTGTTTTTGTTTTTGGGTTTTTTTTTTTTTTTTTTTTTTTGGGGTTTTTTTTTTTTTTTTTTTTTTTGGGGTTTTTTTTTTTTTTTTTTTTTTTGGGGTTTTTTTTTTTTTTTTTTTTTTTCTTATCCATGCCACAATATGATCTGTTCAAAATCCTGAGAAACTTGGCAAAGTTTTGAGCCACCTTTGGGGCTCCTGGGAATATTTCTTCCCAGCACACAGGTGGGCCTAGATAAAAGCAGGTGTTGCATGTTGCAGGAATAATGCATGTTCTCCAAATGCTGTGCTTTTCATCTGCTCCTCAGAGGAATTGATACAGAAGAATACATTCAGATATTTCTCTCATTATTCATTCAGATTACACACCTTAGAATGACTGTTCACCTTTCCCTATTTTACAACCACCAAGATACCTACTGTACTTCAGTGATCAATTATCTCTACATTTCTTCAATGCCTGATACATGCAATTAATACACTCAGTTGCCTCTGGATATTTTGGTCCTTACTCAGAAGCTGAGCAGCAAATTTTTCCTCTCATATCTGGCTGTAATTGCCTTTATCTCCAGCAGAGTTCAGGGAAAGCAGGGGGAAATCTGAAGTATCTAAAGCTCTCGCAAGTCCACGTTCTCTTTTCCTTCAGACTGCAAAACGAAACCTCCCTCATATGTTGTGCTCACAATGTCTCCCTGTTTTCCTGGGGCACCTTGCTCACTCTCAAGAGCTTGTTTGTCACTATAGGACACGAAATAACACAATATGGACATGCAGCTCTCTCAAGGTAAAGAAGGCGCTTTTAATTTCTGACTCTAACATTTATGGATTTTCAAAAGTGACAGTGGATTGGAGGGTGACAGTGCCACCTCTCCAATGACACTGCACAAACCAAAAGTCGATCAAATTTCTCCTCCTCCATAAAATAATGCAAAACAATAAGTTATTTACATAAAGTGTGTGAGAAAGTTTGTTACAAGAATGTAAACATCAGAAGGCTTAGAAAATCTTAAAACATCAGGGCAACACTTGTTACTCTGAAAGCATCCTCGAACTGTTTCCTTCAGACCAAAGCCTTCTAAGGTTTTCATTCTGTTTTTACTCACTCTGGAGAAAAAGAGATTTGCTTCTCCTTGATTAACATCATAAGGCTATGGTACAATATCTAAAGGAAGCAGCAACTCCCATGAAAGGCTCACCACATCATCACCATCATCATCCTCCCCTTCTGGAGCCTCACGCAGCAGTTTGGCGAGGCTCTGCAGAGAAGAGCCTGAGAACACGCTGTCCAAATCCATACCCACTGCTCACCTGTGCAGGAAAAACAGGAGACAGATTAAGCAGGAACCAGCTGTGCTTGGAACAGCCTGTAAAGCACAAATTTCCCTCTGTGTTTCTGGGAAATAAAAGTTTAGCCAAGTTCCTGTATGTGTGAGGACAAAACATGTAAAATGGAACATAAAATCAAAGGATATGCTGAGTTGGATGGGATCCAACTCCTGGCCCTGTGCAGGACAGCCCGAGCCCCACCAGGCTCCTGGGAGCGCTGTGCAAATGCTCTTTACAGCCCGGGGCTGTGACCACTGCCCCGGGCTGTAAAGAGCCTGTTCCAGTGCCCGACCAGCCTGTTCCAGTGCCCGACCAGCCTCTGGGGGAACAACCATTGCAGATCCCAGCCTCAACATGCCCTGAGGGAGCTCGAGCTGCTCCCCGGGTCCTGCCATCGCTCGGGAATAGCACCCGACCTTTCCCTTGAGCCCACACTGCGGTCCTTCTGCTCAGCTGCTCCAGGTGCCAGCCCAGCTCGAGCCTCACCAGTGGCTGCGGCAGACGCCGTGTCACAGGTCACCTCCAGAACCTTCTGTGACTGCTCTGCCCGCCCGCCGGCCTTCGGACCGGCCCGGCTCCAGGGGCAGGCGGGGGCGAAGGGAACCCCAGCGACAAACCCGCAGTGACGAATGCTCGTCACCGCGTCCCCGCTGTCGTGCGGCTCCAACGCCGCGCTTCCGGCCCGCTGTCCCCTGTCTCGCACCCCCCCCACCCCGTGTCCCCTGTCCCGGCCCGCTGTCCCCTGTCCCGGCCCGCTCCCCGTGTCCCCTGTCCCGGCCCGCTGTCCCCTGTCCCGGCCCGCTGTCCCCTGTCCCGCACTCCGCTCCCGCAGCCGCGTCCCCCGTCCCCACAGCAACGCCGACACGCCCCGCCCCTCACGCCCCAACAGCCAATCGGAGCCGAGAGCGCGCGAGTGGCGGCCGCCCTGATCAATAGCTGCGGAGAGCGGGAAGGCGCGGAGTGGCACAGCTGTGAGCAGCACTGACAGCAGCGAGCCATGGAGTGCCCAGGTGTGCTGAGCACCCACCAAAGGGAGCAGAGGGCACACAGGGGCAGTGCACCAACATCAGGGTGTAAAAGGCTGGGCTGAAGAACAAGAAGGGCAGATGCTTGCAGCTTTCTGAGGTGATATGGTGTTTCTCTGTGTGGGTTGAACCCTTTGGACATTGTCTGGTGGTGCTCTGTGCGTTGTGGCTGTCTCTGCTGTGACATGTGCTGTGACACAGCCTTGGGGGGCAGCTGGAGGCTGGAGCCTTTGGCATGGGCACATCTGAGGGTGCAGTGGGGGAGAGGCTCTGCAGCCTCTGCCTTGTGCTGGGGCAGAGTGGAGCGAGGGGCTGGAGCCAGAGGTGTTTGTGTCAGGCCTGGCCAGGGCCTGCAGTGCTGGGCAGCAATTGCTCTTTAGCCTCTAGGAAGGAAATCCATCTTTTCCTTTTGCTCTGGTTCCAGGTCTAACCTTTGGGGCACAGCCTTCGACAGCAGCCACCAGTACAACCACAGCAACGCTGACCACAAGCACCAGCCAGGCACCCACCCTGTCCTTTGGAACCAAGCTGGGAGGTAGGAAGCTCTTCTAGAAAACAATTCCTCAAGGATTTGGGCATTCTGCTCTCCTCCTGGCAATAGCTGTCTGTTGGAAGTAGACAAATATCTTATTCTGGGGTGTGGGGAGGGGCCACAAGTGTTTGTTCCTGTGGGTTTGCCCTGGCAGTGGGGATCTGTGACAGCTCCTAGAGCCATTGCACAGTGTGTGCTGTGGTTCTGACTGTGTCCCACGTGCCAGATCCTGTTCTGTGCCTGTTTGGGGGGCACAGGGGAAGGGAGACACAATATGAAAGGGCACAGTGACCCAGGTGTGGCTGGGCAGCTGGTGTCACCCTCCCAGCAGGGCTGTTGTGCAGGGGGTGGGAGCTCAGTGTGCTCTGCTTGTCCACCTGGAGCTGTTTGTCCCTGCAGTCACATCCACCGCTGCCACCACGGCCTCCACCACCAGCACCACCTCAGTGCTGGGCTCCACGGGGCCCTCCTTGTTTGCATCTGTGGCAACTTCTTCAGCCCCAGCCTCCTCCAGCAGCACGGGCCTCTCACGTGAGTCTCTGCAGGCAGGTTTGTCCCTGGGGCAATAACGGGGCAGCAAGGCTGCTGCTGCCTGGGGCTGCTGCAGGGGGAGGGGGAGCAGGCTGGGCACAGCTTTTCCAAGGGCCCTGCATTCCATGGCTCATGCAACCTGTTCATGCTGTCTTCTCTTCACAGTGGGTGCCACCTCCACTGGTTCCACTGGGACAGCCAGTCTGGGGACACTTGGCTTTGGATTAAAGGTTCCTGCAACCACAGCTGCCACAACAAGCACTGCCACAGGTAGGAACAGGATGCTGACAGTCACTGAAGAGAAGGGAGACGGAACTCAGTGCTCTGTCAGGGTGGAAAGGGCCGTGTTAGAGCAGCAGCACAGCAGCTGTGACTTGTAAAACCCTCAAGTAACTGAAAACAGCACAGTCTGTGTTCTTCTGACCCTTTGCCATCTCCTTGTGAAAACATAGAAGTTCTCTCATCCACTGCAGAGGTGCAGGGGAGGAGCTGGGTGTGCTGGCAGTTACTGGTTCTAGCAGTAAAACATGGGGCTGTTTACAAGGGTGTGGGCTGGGGATGTTTTCATTCCCTCCTTGACTGCTGTAGGATCTGCTGCTGTTCCCTTCAGAGGGATCCAGTGCAGCTCCTGCAGCCATGGGCAGTGCACCCTGGAGCTGCTCTCTGTTTGAGAGGTACCAGGTGTGTCCCCTTCTGCTGCTTGACTGGAAGCTCTTCCTGCAGGGACTACTTCTGCTTCTGGCTTTCCTTTGAATCTGAAGCCATTGACCACCACGGGTGCCATTGGAGCTGTGACCTCCACAGCTGCCATAACCACAACCACCACACCCAGGTGGGTTTTTGTTACCCTTGACCCTTTCCTGCCTGGCCAGGAGCAGCTGCAGTGCTCAGGCTGGGTCTGGGGGAGGAAGGGGAAATCAGTGAGCGTTGTGGTGTTTGTCTGTCCTGACCTCGTGTCCTGTGCTGCCCCTCACTCCTCTCAGTGCCCCCCCAGTGATGACTTATGCCCAGCTGGAGAGTTTGATCAACAAGTGGAGCCTGGAACTGGAAGACCAAGAGAAGCACTTCCTGCATCAGGCTACCCAGGTCAATGCCTGGGACCGCATGCTGATAGAGAATGGAGAGAAGGTGAGGGGGCCTCCACTGGAACCTCGTTCTGCTTGCTTAGCTCCTTCAAGGGCTCTGCTACAGCTGCAGCAGGCATCTCTAACATGGGGCTCTGTGCTTGTGAGAGACATAGCTGTGAGCTCCCCCGGGTGCTTTTCACAGTCTCTCTGTGTGTCTGTTCTGGCCTTTAGGCTTTGGAGCTGCCAGTCTGTTCTGTGCCTTTGCTCTGTGACACCAAGTTCTCTTAGGGGACATCATTCCATGTTTCTTCCATCATTGCGATGGAAGAGCTGTAAGGAATAAGGCAGGATCATTCCTCCCTTATTCCATCTTGTATCTGTAAATCTTTTTGTGGCCATCTCTTGTTTCCAGCAGAACTTGCCCTCTTCTGCTTTCTCCCTCCCACCTCTCTTTTTGGGACAGCTGACTTCTTTGTTTTCAAGGTGTAATGAAGTGTCTTCTGCTTCCAGATTACTTCACTGCACAGAGAAGTAGAGAAGGTGAAGGTTGACCAGAAGAGGTAGGAGACCATGAGCACTTGAAATGATTTTATTTCTTCTCTGCCTTCTCCTGCCTGGTTGTGGGACAGCTCTGCCATGTCTGCAACATGAAAGGGAAGCTGTGGCACTTTCTCTCTGCAGACTGGATCAGGAACTGGACTTCATTCTGTCCCAGCAGAAGGAGCTGGAGGACTTGCTGACCCCTCTGGAGGAGTCTGTGAAGGAGCAGAGCGGGACCATCTACCTGCAGCACGCCGATGAGGAACGGGAGAGGACGTGAGGCACAGACCTGCTGGGGATGGGGGATGAGCACGGGCCTGTGCTCACAGCAGTCAGCAGGAGATGGGCTTGGGATGGGAGACAGGATTGAACTATCAGGGCTGCTGTCAGATATTTAATCCTGTTTTGTGCTTGGCAACTTAGATTTTACTCTTTAGAACAGTGAATGGAGCCCCTTGAATCAGCATGAAAACCTCTTTGGATATTGGTGTAATCAGCTGTCTGGGAAGAGGTTACTAATTTTGGCATAATCTTGGAAAGTTAGTGGTTCATCAGTGCCAGCACTGGTGAGACCAGGGAACTATGTGTGGCACAGGTCCCTCGTAAGGCTTTAGAGATGCATCATGGCAGCGTAATTAAAGGCACTGTTTCTCTGGTTCAAGAGATGAAGAATCCTGAATCCAGGCTTGCTCCTTCCTTCAGTTCCCACAAATCCTTGCAGGAAGTCCTTCACTCTCCTGCTTGTCTGCAGATCCAAGGGAGACAGGGGTTTGGGAAGTCCCTTCATGTGGGTTTGGAGCCTCTCTGGGTGCTCTTCCCAGGTCTCCGCTGCCCTTGGCTGCGGATGTGGAAGCTCATTCTGATTGCCCACAGTTGCTGTGACTGCAAGCACGTCTTCAGAGTTTTCTTTAACCTTTCTGATCTTGCTTCCTGTGTGCTCTGCAGCTACAAACTGGCTGAAAACATCGATGCTCAGCTGAAGCGCATGGCACAAGATCTGAAGGACATCACTGAGCACCTGAACACCTCAAGGGGCCCAGCAGACACGAGTGACCCGGTAAATGCAAGCCTCTATTTTTATTTTTTATTATTTATATTAAATTGATTTTGATGCTCCTTAGGGCTGTACTCAGCAGCTTTTTTTTTCAGTAAAAAATTTCCCTTCAGTATTGCAGACTGAGTTTTTCCACATTCATTCTGAATTTGGCACTTAAGCCTTAGGTGATGAATGTTCTGCTGGTTCCTTGGTCGAAATTAAAATAAGCCAAAGCCACAGGCATATCAACTAAACTGTGCAGGTTTCTTGCTGGTATGGAGAAGCCAAGTAGCAGCATTATTGCACACACTTTCCTGGCCAAGTGGCTGCTGCCTTAGGGAAGCCGGGCAAGGAGGAACTTGCCTTGGACTCCTCTTGCTGTTTATGCACTCTCACAACTGACTTGCACCTTCTCTCTCTGCTCAGCTTCAGCAGATCTGTAAAATTCTGAATGCACACATGGATTCCCTGCAGTGGATTGACCAGAATTCAGGTGAGCTTTGTCCTGCAGCCTTTTGGGACTGGGAATGGGAAGCAGGAGCGTGTGTGTGAGTGTTTGTTCATCCCTGAATTCCTGAAGATGCCTGAGGACTCTTCCTCCTCACCTTCAGTGGCACTGTCCCTTCTGGGCTTGAATGCTCCTGCTGTGCCTGATCAGAGGCCTCTGCTCAGAAGTTACTGTTTGAATTTTACCAAAAACACTCTGCTTGCATGTTTTTCTCTGTCCTGCAAGCAACACTGTGCCGGATTGTGTTCTGGATGACTGTGACATTATTCCCTTGTTTCTGCCACAGCTGTGCTGCAGAGGAAGGTGGAAGAGGTGACCAAGGTTTGTGAGAGTCGCCGCAAGGAGCAGGAGCGCAGCTTTCGGATCACCTTTGATTGAAACGCTCCCACGTTGAAAGGATGCATATAAAGCCTCCACAAAATGCAGATGTGTTTGAGGTGTGAAATGACGACCTGACTTTTGTTTCTTTTCTTGCAATAAAATGTGTTGTTTGTTCCCAAAGGTGATCTTTGTTGTGTTGGACAGGAGTACTGCCTGAAGTTTGTGGGGGAAGCGTGGTCTTTGTGCTTTAGCTGTGCCTGCAGACTGGTGAGATACAGAAATGCTGCTTTGGAGGGCTCAGGGCAGTCTCTGTCTCCAGGGGAGTCAGCAGAGCTGGGAGGCTCCCAGGACTGAAGTGTAGACACAGTCCTGCAGCAGCAGAGTACAGCACACTTGGCTCTAAAAGTCTTAGGACTATAAACATCAATAAGCACACACTAAGGAAATACTATAAAAAGTGCATTTATTTACCTGGCCTCTTCCCTCCCTCCTTGCCACAACAGCTTAGGGGCACAGCCCAGCTCTCAAGAACAGCTCAGTCCCCAGCTCTCCTTTCCCACTCTGAGATTGCTAGACCTGCATGTTGGCTCCTAACAGTCCTGCACTGTCCCACGTTCAGCCACAGCTTACTGAACTCCACAAGGCTGCTGGTTCTCCATCCTTCACGTGGCAGGAGCGTTCTCTGCAGCAGAGGAGCTGGGGCTGGCAGAGTCAGCCTCTGGCACATGCTTCCTGCTTTTCCCAAAGGCGATCACCAGGGGCTTCCCCTGCAGCTTGTACCCGTTCAGCAGCTGCAGGGCCCTCTGGGCTGACTCTGTGTCTGCAATGAGAGGGCACAGTGGGCACAGGGCACCTGCTGCCATGGGGACACAGGGTGATCCTATGGGTGTTCCCATCTGATGGCCACTCAGCCTGCTCTGACATGCTGAATGAACACTGCACATGACAGACTGTGTCACTTCTGCTTTCTGGTAAATCCCCTTCCACCCCAGGGAAAGGAGCGCGGCACAACAGGAAGAGAAGGCAGTGAATTCCCCTGCTTCTCCCTGGAAAGCAGGCTTGGCAGCAGTGCCCTGCAGGAGGATGTGACACCTTTGGGAGTCAGGGAAGAACGGAGAGGCAGAGGCAGCAACTCACCAGGGAAGGTGATGAAGGCCTGATCCCTCATGCGGCCGCTCAGGAGGCGGAACTGGATCAGTGGGCTGTCCTCCTTCTGGAACCGAGCAAACAGGGACACCAGGTCCTTCACTGTCACTCGGGGGCCCAGGTTCTTCAAATACAGCACCTGTAACAGGGACACATGGGGTCAGCCAGCCTCTGCCATGCAAAGACACCTTTCAGCCTGTCCCAAGTCTGTACAGCTCAAGGTGTGAATTAGCTCAACCCTCACACCCACATGCTCATGATGGCATTTAGAGGACAGGTAGGTGTACAGAGAATGGCAGCTCTGAACTAAAGGCATCACCCTGCTTGCCTGCATCAAGAGCTGACAGTTTCAGTTTATTACAGAACAGTTCTGTTTATTCAGTTCATTCCATTTATTTATAAAAAGCAGTACTCTCCAGCTACCAGACAGGAACAGTCTGAGTAAGGTGACACCAGGACTCAGCCAGGCTCAAACAGACAGAGCACACCTTGACAGGTGAGCTGCTGGAGCCAGGCAGGGCTGGGCTCACAAGTACAACTCTTTGCCAGGCTGGTGCCTTCCCATCAGAACCCAAGGTCCCTTTTCCCCCCAGAGTGGAGGCTGCTCTCCCCCTTGGCCTGGAGGATCAGCCCAGCAACTTCAACGCAACAGCAAAGAGGAGCCTTTGCCTACTGACACAGCTTCAGGGCATCCTGCTGAGCAAGGATAAATCCTGGCTCATCTCAGCTTACCCTGTTGGGCTCCCCTGCATGGTAGGATGAGAACCTGGGAATTTTCCGGAGTTCTTCCTCTGAGAGGCGGTTCTTGAGGATCTCCTCTTCTGGGACAAACTCCACTGGCTCTTTGATAACCACAGGCCTTGGAGGGGACTGCTGGGGCTTTGTTGCAGAAACACTGGGACTTGCTGCCTGCTCCTCCTGGTCTGGAAGTGATGATTCCTCAGTCCCAGACCCCTGTGGGGTCGGGGACAAGCAGGGGTCACTTGCAGCAGACTGGACTTTTTCAGGGCACTTCTTGCTCAGCAGCTCTTGGTAAACACTCTCCAGATGAACCATGGGGTCTTTTTCATCTGTTCCCCCCTTCTGAGTGTCATCTAATTCATAACACAGATACATGGTAACTATCACCAATAACCTGGAAAACACACAGCCTGCAAGAACAGACACAGAAAGGAGAAACCCTGCTTCATCCCAGCCCCTACAGGTTGTTTTAAACAAGAGCAGCCTGGCTCCCCAGCTCAGGATGAACCTGCAGAGAGCAGCAGCTCCACCTGTGCTACAGCACAGCTCTTTTCAGAGATGCCCTCTTGCTTATCTTAACTTGCTTATCTGCAGCCACATTTCAGCACTTTCTAGTGACTCCTTCAACACACCTTCCTCCTCCTGCATGTACGGCAAGGACGGGCCATGCTGCCTTCCTGTACCTACCTGGAATAGGAACATTTGGCTTTCAAGGACATCAGATCAAGCTCCTGGGTTTAAAGAAAGTCCATGACATGGACTGATCAATGATCTCTTTTAATTCTCTTTAATGGAAATGAAGACAAATGTGAGAGCAGCATCTTCCAGTCTTCAAGTGGATCCAATTCCACTTCAGGGGTGAGGCTTTAACAAGTCATTCCTCCTCTTACCTGCTCTGTGCCTTTGCTTCCTTCATCCCCTGCAGTTACCTCAGAGAAGGAACAATCTCCAGTCCCCCTTTGTGTAACACAGACCTCGAGGCTTTATACCCCAGCTCCTCTCCCACACCCCGAGCTGCTCTGCACTACATGCAACACCTCAAGGAGATCTAGAAATGCACTTTAAAAGCCTCTATATTAAACCCTCCAGAGAACCAACTCTGCCTGCTCCTGTAAGAGAGGAAAATATCTCCTCCCACACAGCACCAAAGCAGAACCCCATCTTCAGGGACAGAAGGCCAGACAGAAATGTGTTGGGCTCCCACGCGGGCTGGCTGCGTGTGCTGCAGCCGAGGCGGGAAGAGCCCTGAGGGCAGACCTTGGTGGTAGAGGGCCCGGAGGAAGGAGTGGCGGTCTGTCCCCTGGAAAAGGGCCTGCTCGATCTCCATCTCCCGCCGGCTCAGCTGCTTGCTGCCCGCAAACCTCTGCGGCAGCGCCAGGATGCGGCGCCGCTCCTCCAGCTTCTCCTGGATGGCATCCAGCCGCTCCTGCGTGGCCTCCGGGGCTGCCCCCAGCCCCGAGCCCTGCAAAACAAGCACGGCTCGGCTCAGCAACAGCATGGGCATCCTCCTCAGAGCCAGCCACACAGCACAGCCCCGAGCCCTGCAAAACAAGCACGGCTCGGCTCAGCAGCTGTGGTATTTCCTGAGAGCCCTGTCGTTGGAAGGAGTGAATGAATCTGACTCCATGTTCTTAGGCTAATTTATTATTTTATGATCTATATTAAAGAATACTATACTAAACTACACTAAAGAATAGAGAAAGGATACTTACAGAAGGCTAAAAGATACTAATGAAAACTTGTGACTCCTTGCAGAGCTCTGACACAGCCTGGCTGTGATTGGCCATTAAGTAAAAACAATTCACCTGTTGGATAAACAATCTCCAACCACATTCCAAAGAAGCAAAACACAGGAGAAGCAAATGAGATAATATTGTTTTCCTTCTTCTCTGAGGCTTCTCAGCTTCCCAGGAGAGGAATCCTGGGCAAAGAGATTTTTCAGAAAATAATATAGTGGCAAGCAAGAGCATGGGCCTCCTCCTCAGAGCCAGCCAAAGGCACAGCCCCAGCCCTGCAGTGGGTGTAAGGCTAAAAGATACTAATGAAAACTTGTGACTCCTTGCAGAGCTCTGACACAGCCTGGCTGTGATTGGCCATTAAGTAAAAACAATTCACCTGTTGGATAAACAATCTCCAACCACATTCCAAAGAAGCAAAACACAGGAGAAGCAAATGAGATAATATTGTTTTCCTTCTTCTCTGAGGCTTCTCAGCTTCCCAGGAGAGGAATCCTGGGCAAAGAGATTTTTCAGAAAATAATATAGTGGCAAGCAAGAGCATGGGCCTCCTCCTCAGAGCCAGCCAAAGGCACAGCCCCAGCCCTGCAGTGGGTGTGTGGTGGCAGCTCCCTGGTCAGAGAGAGAGAAGCTAGATAGGTTTTCCCAGTAAGAAGAATAGCAAATTTGTCTTTACAAAGAAGCTGTGGGTCTGCTGGTAGATAAAACTAGCACTGGGAGGTAACAGAAACAATGGGAAGGATTCCACTGATTGATGAATGGAAAAAGATATTTGCTTTTACAAATAAACTTTAGGTTTGCTGATAAATGAAATTAGACACTGAAAGATGAAAGAAACAATGGGGAAGAAAAACCCCTAAATTCTGTAAGAATTAAAAATTAAAAGGGAGGGTTATATATTAGAGGGAATTCTTCGGTATCAGGTGTATCAGGAAGTCTGTACTTCTCAAGTACCTCAGCCAATGGGGAAAGAGAGAAGGGAAATGTGGCTGGAAATTGGGATAAAAAGGAGGCTGTGTCCTCCAAAAATTGGAGATATCCCAGGGGAATGCCCCATGGCCTCTCCCTTTATCCGAATAAAGTCACAAAGGACTCCTCTGTCTCCTTTTTGGACATAAACCTCTGGTGTTTGTGGATTAATTTTCCTGACTCTTACAGTGACATGGTGCAATTAGGAACCATCCCCCAGGGCACCAACAGGTTCTGTTACTGCAAGGGTAGGACAAATACAACCACACAGCAAGCTCAGTTCTTGAGGGGAGCGGAGAAACAGCTCCTTTGCATGACCTGTCTGTGCTGCTTCCCTCTCCCTGGCCTGTCTCCCTCTGTCCTGCTGCCTGTGACAGCTACAGCTGTCACCACAGGCACCGTCAGTGACTGCACAGCCATCCTCTGGCAGCTCTTCCCTGCACCTACAGCATCCCCGAGCTCAGTCTCCACCAAGCTCTTAGTCTGTGACCCTGAGAACCTTATTTGCTGAAAAGTGGACCGCCAGCTGCTTGGTGGCACCCGAGGGGAGGTTTATGCTGAGGACTAAACCCCAACCAGCATCACTGAGCCAGCTTCCAGAAACCACAGAGGAACTGCAGCACAGCCCTCACAGCTCAGCCGAGAGCAAGCAGCATCCCTGGGCAAGCAAACCTCACTGCACGAGCCACTTCATGCTGCCCAGGCACAGAGACACACCCAGCTGCTCAAAGGGCACTCCTGCTCCCCCGTCCACTCGATCAGAACACGCTTTGATGGGGCTGTGGGAGAATTTTCTGTTCTCAAACTCAGTTTGAGAATTACTGTGGCAGATCCTTCTGCCTCGGGCAAGAAACCAGGCTTTCTCCCTGCACTGAGCACAACCTAACAGAGTTTCCCATGGTACCTCTGCCCCACATCTGCACAGCTTCTTCCATTCACCATTTCACAGCTTCCCCGAGGCACAAAAAGCTGTTTATACGGAAAAGCAATTCCCGGAAATCATTTGTTGTACTTTGTTTTCAAAAAAGCTGCCACTTAGCTGCTGAAAATAACAGAAATCTGCACTCAGTACTTTGCCAAGAGCTCCCCAGGCAATCTGAAGTTCTCTCTGTCTCAGGTGACATTATTCATCACTCATGGTGGAATCTTTCACTCAGGGCCTCCACCTCCAAAGCTGCATATCACTACCTGACTTAGGCTTTCTCCCTAAATATTCTCCTCTCAGAACCTGTAGAAGACATACCCTGATGCCACCCCTTTTTTTTTTCTGTCAGAGGAGTGTTTTCCATACAAATAATTTTTTCTGAACATCCCAGAATACATTTCATACTAAATATAACAGCTGGTACTGACGGCATTGATTTTCATTCTTAAATTAACACCACCCCTCTCTGCACCAAGCTTTAATCAGGCCACACCAGGGCTGGATTTGCATTTAAACGCCAAAGCAAGTAATGACTTCAGCTGAAAAGAGGCAAGCCCCTGATTACCAGACAACCCTCTCCTGCACACAGCTATCACTCAGGAAGAGGAGACAAAGGGAAGCCAAGGATCAGCCCAAGTCCTGTTCTTCATCTTCTAGTTTGGCAAATTAAGAGCAGGACGCTCCAGTGCACCTGACACGGGACAACCACAAAAGCCTCTTGTCTCTGGAATGTGAAAAAAAAAGGGTGAAGGTGGGGGAAGGGGAAAAACCTGCTGGAAGAGCACCCAAGGAGGAGCCAAGGCACTGCCACCACACACTTGGTCTGACAGCTCTGCACTATTTTCATGTGGCTGTCCCAGGGCCCTTGAAGGACCTGAAAGCCCCTAAGGGGGGCACTTCCTACAAACAGCCATCCCAAATCAGCAATGGGATCCAGGAATCTATCAGGATACTCAAAGGAGGATGTTGAGGTGCTTTGAAATATCTTCTCCTTCTCTTCTAGCATTTAAATCCTTCATACACAGGTAAAAATAGGTGAAATGATTTGTTTGAGATCAAGGCAGAGGAATATCCTCACATCCTGCTGTGTTCCAAAGGACCCGCTCCTGTCTCCACCCTATCTGTTAACACTGACCATTCTGCCAAAGAAAAGAGGCCAGAAGAAATGTAGGATAGTTCTGGGCTAAAGGCAAGGGATACAAGAGTGGCCATTCTTTACCAATGACTTACAAAGGACTGGAATTTCCTACCAGAGAGCCACAGGGTTAGAGGAAGCTGACTACCCTCGGGTGAGAGCACAGCATGCCCACCTTCCTTGCTGAATCCCGGTTCTTCCAGAGCAGGATCTCCGAGTCAGAGAGCCCCAGCTCCCGCAGAGAGGAGGTTTCTTTGTCACTCTCCTGCAGGGCCTGGAACTGTGAGAGGCTCAAAGCCCCCGCAGCCTCTTCCCCGAAAGGTTTGTAAAAAGCTGCAGGGGCAAAGCATCTCCGCTTTGACTTGCACCTGTGAGCCAAAGGAACACAACAGCACAAACAGCTCAGCGCTGAGGAATGGGGACAGCAAGGGGTTGGTCTCTCCCAAACCACACCAGATCAGCACTTACTGCTCGATGGAGACACTGGTGTCAAGCTGGTGGTGAAGGAGGCTCTTCAGCTGCCTCTCTCCTTCTGTCTCCAAGTCTTCCAGGAGAAGCTCATCGCTGGACAGGCTGCTGTTCACCCTGGGGCACACAACCACAGCACAGGCACGGGCAGTCAGGCAACAGGGGAAACACTGCTTGAAACACATCCCTGCTACAGCTCCTCCACCTCCTGGGCTGTTTTTATGGGATTTAAAAAAACAAGGAACCAAAACTACTTGACCAGAGCTCCCTTTAACATTACTGGGAAAGTCAACAGATTTGGGATTACTTTGAGAACACTGAAGTACCCCAAGGGGTCTTCGGGTGTTTTTGTATTGGTGGGGTGGTTGTTTGTTCACTTTAAAATCGCATGCCATCATTTTTATTGACCGAAATCGTCTTGCATCAGCATCTAGCCAGACACTGCCAGTTTCAAATTAGGGCAGAAAGAAGCGAAACCGCGACGCCGAAGAGAAACTGTGAATTTCAGCAGCGCTTTTCCCTTCCCGCGGTCGCCCGGAGCAGCCAGACCCCAAACCCAGCCCAGCCCGGCCCGGCCAGCCTGGGCACCCCGGGAGCCGCGGCTGCCCCGCTCACCGGCGCATGGCCCCGCCGCTCCGCGCTGCAGGCCCCGGCAGCGCCCGCGGGGCGCGGGGAGCCGTGCCGGAAGGAGCGCGGAGCGGAGCGGAGCGGGGCCGGAGCTGCTGCACGGAGCGCTGCCCTGTCGGGGGGTGAGCCGGGATGGGTGCCAGGCACCCCCAAAGACACCCGCCCCCCTCGGCAGCTGAACGGAGAACACTTAATGCAGGGTTCGTGACTGAGATACGGACCGGAAGAGATCTCTCTTCAGATGTCGTCACAGGCACAACAGGCTCAACGCAGAGATACGAGTTGAGCTTATCGATAACTAAAGCAGAGCGGGATAATGGGAAGTAAAATTAACCCTTAGAAAGGCCTTCCCCCCCATCTGTCCCTCCTGCCCCAGCAGCGCAGGGAGACGGGAATGGGGGTCATGGTCAGTTCAGAGGGATTCGGCAATGGGGGTCGTGGTCAGTTCACAGGGATTCGGGAATGGGGGTCATGGTCAGTCAGAGGGATTCAGGAATGGGGGTCATGGTCAGTTCACAGGGATTCGGAATGGGGGTCATGGTCAGTTCAGAGGGATTCGGGAATGGGGGTCATGGTCAGTTTATCACCCCTGGTTTGGGGTCCCTCCCATGAGAGACAGTTCTCTGTGAACTTCTCTAATGTGAGTCCATCCCACAGGTAACAGCCCCCCTCAAACTGCTGCAGTGTGGGTGACACTGCCACAGAGTCCTTCCAGAACAGGCTGCTCCAGCCTGGGCACAGGACACCTCAGCCACAGGCTCGCAGCCTCCTCCCAGGCATGCCCCTGCTCTGCCCTGGCGCTCCTCCATGGGCTGCAGGTGGATCTCTGCATCCCCATGGGCTGCAGGGGCACAGCTCCTTCACCATGGTCCTCACCACAGGCTGCAGAGCAATCTCAGCCCTGGTGCCTCTTCCCCTCTGTCCTTCTCCACTGACCCAGGTGGCTGCAGAGTTGTTCCCCTCACAGGTTTTCACCCTGCTCTTTTCTGGCCACAATTACAACTGAGCCACAAATTAGTTTTTCCTTCTTCTTAAATCTCTTTCACAGAGGCATTACCACCATATCTAACTGGCCCAGCCCTGGCCAGCAACTCATCCATCTTTTGGAGCCACCAGGGACTGGCTCTGCTGGACATGGTGGAAGCTTCTGGCAGCCTCTCACAGAAGCTACCCCTGCAGTCTCCTCCCAAAACCAGGCCATGGAAAACCACACAGAGCCCTCCAAGGCAGCACTGCTGTTATCTCACCAGTCTGCAGGCACAGCTAAAGCACAAAGAGCACACACTTCATCCAGTTTTTGATGGGAGCAGGTGAAATCCAGTCCAACACCACAAAGACTAGCTTTGAACAAACAACATTTTATTGTAAAAAAGGAAAAAAAGCCAGGTCGTCATTTCAGTCCTCAGCTCCCAAACACCTCTGTTTTCTGTGGAGGTTTTATGTTCATCCTTTGAACTTGGGAATGTTTCAATCAAAGGTGATCCGAAAGCTGCGCTCCTGCTCCTTGCGGCGACTCTCACAAACCTTGGTCACCTCTTCCACCTTCCTCTGCAGCACAGCTGTGGCAGAAACAAAGGAATAACGTCACAGTCACCTCAGAACACAACCCTGCACAGTTTTGCCTGCAGAATGAAAAATATTTTCTTGTTGACAGTCACTCAGATTTGACAGTGGACAAAGCAGGAGAAAAGCACAACCCAAAGCACTGCCAACAAGAAAACTTCTTTATTGAATGGCAGAGGAAAAAATGGGTCTCCTTTCTAGGAAAACTTAAAGGAAACAGATAGCTATTTTCACACATATTCTGTAAAGAATTCAGGCAGCACAGGAGCTGTACCAGATTTCCTAAAAAAGGCATGTTTGGAATGTGGAGCTCAGCAGCAGTGTTCTGAAAGAAAACACCTAATCAGACCCCGACCTAAGCCAATAATTCTGTGTGAACATGGAGAGCAGCAGGCCTGCTTTCACACAAGCAGTTACACCAGGTGTGAACATTTCTCAGCACTGTAGCCAGGCAGTGCACTCGGGCTGCTGAGAGGAGAGCTGCTTTATTCTGCCGTGCCCCCGTGTGGCTGCACCAGTTAAAATCCAAACGGCACAGAATTCCAGAATCCCTCACCAGGAGGCACTCTCCCAGGGAGAAAAGTTCCTTTTCTCTGTCTTTAGGAAGACTCCACTGTCAAATATTCACTCCTGAGTGCATCTCTCTGTGCACTGGGTCTCAGGCTGCTGAGGCTACGAAATTCCCACATTATTCCTCCGGTTACCCCAGGTGCAGATCAAGGCAGGCTGCTCCATCTTACCTGGATGTGGCTTCCTCTTTTCAGACTGGGAGGGATGATAACACTCAACACACACTCTTCCCCTCACCAATTTTCCTGCACCACAGGCAAACCCCACACTCTTTTAGAAGTTGAACTATTTAACATTAGTTTGACAGAATGAATAAGGTTTTCAAGTTCTCTGCTTTGTACTGATGCATTTCAAGGAGGGCTTTTTAGTTAAAAAACACCAGTTGCCAGGACTACCTTCTCAGCAGAGGCCTCTGATCAGGCACAGCAGGAGCATTCAAGCCCAGAAGGGACAGTGCCACTGAAGGTGAGGAGGAAGAGTCCTCAGGCATCTTCAGGAATTCAGGGATGAACAAACACTCACACACACGCTCCTGCTTCCCATTCACAGTCCCAAAAGGCTGCAGGACAAAGCTCACCTGAATTCTGGTCAATCCACTGCAGGGAATCCATGTGTGCATTCAGAATTTTACAGATCTGCTGAAGCTGAGCAGAGAGAAGGTGCAAGTCAGTTGTGAGAGTGCATAAACAGCAAGAGGAGTCCAAGGCAAGTTCCTCCTTGCCCGGCTTCCCTAAGGCAGCAGCCACTTGGCCAGGAAAGTGTGTGCAATAATGCTGCTACTTGGCTTCTCCATACCAGCAAGAAACCTGCACAGTTTAGTTGATATGCCTGTGGCTTTGGCTTATTTTAATTTCGACCAAGGAACCAGCAGAACATTCATCACCTAACCGAATTCACCGTTTTAAGTCTTACTTGGTGGAAAAACTCAGTCTTCAACAGTGAAATTTTTACTGAAAAATACCTTCGAAGTAAAGGCATAAGGAGGATCAAAATCAATTTAGTAGATGTCAGAAGGAGCTGGTTATTCAGACCTTGTTTTATGAGGATATGAAAACAGTATAAAGAAAAAGTTTGAGCGGAGTATCCACATGGGGAGAAATGAAGAGTTAGAGCTATTTCAATATCCTTTGCCTCTTCAGCAATATAAAATAAAAGCTTGCACTTACTGGATCACTTGTGTCTGCTGGGCCCCCTGATGTGTTCAAGTGATCAATGATGTCCTTCAGATCTTGTGCCATGCGCTTCAGCTGAGCATCGATGTTTTCAGCCAGTTTGTAGCTGCAGAGCACAGAAGAAGCAAGATCATAAAGGTTAAAGAAAACTCTGAAGACCTGCTTGCAGTCACAGCAACTGTGGGCAGTCAGAATGAGCTTCCACATACGCAGCCAAGGGCAGCGGAGACCTGGGAAGAGCACCCAGAGAGGCTCCAAACCCACATGAAGGGACTCCCAACCCATCTCCTTTGATATACACATGGAGACAGACAAGCAGGAGTGTGGAGGACTATGAGTAATATCTAAGTTGCCAAGCACAA